TCCTATGTTTAATAGTTTTTGAGCTATAACCATACACCTTTTTCAGATAAATTGGGGGTCCAGGGGGGTGGGGGCACTGATGGTGGGCCTGATGGATAGAGCTTCATCAGAGCTAAACAACCAAATAAATCTGGAGCTTCTACGTTGAACAGTTTCTGAGTTATAAGCATTTTTGCATGTCCAGAGACCTCTTTTTCAGAAAATTGGGGGTCCGGGGAGGTGGGGGGCACTGATTGGTGGGCCTGATGGATAGAGCTTCATCAGAGCTAAACAACAAAAGAAATCTGAAGCTTCTATGTTGAACAGTTCCTGAGTTATAAGCATTTTTGCATGTCCTGACACCCCCTCTTTGAAAGGAGCCCCCTCCTCAAATATGGGGTCTATCGTAAAACCGTTGGCTGGCGCAGTGTAGGTCAGACTCATCTACAGTCCTGCCAAGTTTCATTTTGATCGGTGCAGCCATTTATGTGCTACGGTTGACCAAAACTCTCCGGAGGAAAAAAAAACAGTATGAAAACAATATGACTCCCACTTACACTTCGCGTGCGGGGGTCATAACAAAACATTTTGCTATTAAAAAAATACATAAAACACCCCACCCCACTCTCCAAACATAAAATCATGCCCACCTCCACCCCACCCTCCAACTCACACAACCAGAAGCAACTCTAAAACCGATTACCCAGTGCAATTCAATGATTGCAACATTGGGTAGATTTAAGATAATTTGAAGATTATTTTTAAAACTAATAAAAGAACTACAAGACTAAGACTTCAGACTAACTCAAGGCTGCAATTCAGTAATGATTTTAAATGRTTTGTTGTGGTTTTGTTTTCAATATTAAATAATCTATAGCTCAGAAAGAACAAGTGTCTCATTATTTCTGTCAAAATATGAGAAAAATCAAAAGACCTCTGACTGCTRCCTTAACTTAGCGATGATTTATCATAGAAACAGTAAAACCAAAGTTGAGTGAAATGCATTAGAAACTGGCCGTCAGGTTGACTTTCTGTTTGGATATTACCACCTTTTAAACTTATAATTGCTCCAATTATCAAAAGATCACTTCAGGATCTTTTTGAAACTCACTCATAAACACAGATTGTCATCATCATTTGCAGCCCAGAGAGATCCTGTACTAACTTTGCTGTTTTACAAGTCATGAGTTGAAAGCTGTGCAAACAGGGTGAGCATGTTTTAACAATAAAAATGGATCCTATTTCCGTGTCATTCTTCGTTTCTTTTCTTGTGAAGGAAATGCTAAAATAGCTGCTTACACACATGGGCTCGTGCACGCACACGTACAATATATAGACACGTAACTATGTTGCGAACTTTTCTGGCTAAAAATACTCCCCGCGTAAAGCTTTAGTCTGTTATCAGCGTGTGCTTCCCCCCGTTTTTTACTACTTTCAATCCTCATAAGCACTAAAACATAAAAGATGAAACGTGTCTCTTTTGAGAAACGTGGCGGCCTGTGTTACAGCCGCTGTAACTTTTTAAATAGCTCGTTAATCCGAAGAGCTCCGACTGTGAAACTTGTTACTTTTGACATGTATAAGTTGATTTAAGAGGCCTTTCAGAGGGTTTAAATTACAACAGCCTCACCGTCTTTTTCAGATAAGAAGCACACTCTGTTAAAAAAAAACCTTTAATTTTTCAAACAGATTTCTGCTTTTTTAGCTACTTTTTATACTCTTCAGTTGGTGCTGAAATAGTTTGTTAAAGCTAAAAAAAAGTTTGTATAAAAATTGTACAATAATCTGCCTGCCACATTTTCATTTGATCRGTGAAACAGGATGTTTTTGCTGCCAGAGAAAAGCTGAAACAAATAGCCTCACAGAATGTAAGAGTCTGGTCGTCTTCCTGTGCAGAACAAAAAAGGAAAAAAGAAAAAAGCAGACGTGCCATCATTCTCTGGTCAACAGTTTTTCAATTTTTATTGAGGCTTTTTTTTTATTTCCCCTCATTTATTTATAAGCCCGATGGTAATTAAATACTGAAATATATCAACCTTATATTTCTGCTTGCTCCTCTCCTGCAGCTCCTTCGGGCTTTAAATAAACACAACCTGAGCTGATCTTTCGGGATTGCTCTCTTTCCTGCCATCTGCGTTCTTTCTGCTMGCCCTGGAGAGCAGCACATCCAACTAAAACCACTTTTTTATCTCTCTCTGTCTCTCCCAGGAGTCTGCACAGCCGAGGTGAGGACGAGGATGCGATCTCCTTCTTTGCCATCTGTCCATCAATGGACTGAGTGCTTCGGTGCTGGCCACCCTTAGGTCAACTCAACCGGGACGAGCGCCAAACATTAAAAGTCTTGACCCGGTGTCCCCTGGACGGCCTGCGCTAAACAAATATTTGAGGCCGTTATATCTAATTTCTCCAGGCGGCCACCTCGAAAAAAGATCAACGGCGAAGGGTGCTGTCGGGAGACGGAGAGGAGCGAAGAAAACGTGGGGGAGGAMGCAGTAACCCTTTCAAAGTGCATCCTGCCTGCTATTTCTGCTGCTCTGTGGGCAGAGAGCATCTTATTTGGGAGAGCTGTTGGTCGACACAAAAAAAGGACTTCCCTGTTCACTGCCTGTTTAAATACCGGAGAAGATATCAATTTGTCTGAGCCCAACAAAGAGGCTGTAAGCTATCTATAGAAAACATCGCAACAAACTTCAACTTTGTGGTCCCGTCAACTGCCACTTCTCCATTACCCCTCAAAAAGATTCAAGAGCTGTGAGAACAGGAATGAAAGCTGATTTCTACTCTTAGAAACGACTCCAAAGCCCACAGCAGCTCTCTGTKGGAGACCGGAAGCCGTAACTTAGCTTAGAGCTCGGAGTTTTGATGCCTTTCCCAGCTCAGTGAAGTAACATGAAACCCCTTTCGCCGATTGGGTCCCCCTCACCTTTGAGGCTCCTCAACAAGGGTCCAGAATACCTGCGCAGGCAAATAGACGGAGGAGGTCACGGCCGCTCTGTCAGYGCTGTGGAGAGGCTGGAGGCGGATAAAGCCAAGTATGTGAAGAGTCAGCAGGTGATCAACACCAAGCAAGAGCCCGCGCTGGTGCCCTGCRCCACACCGCCACCGCAGCAACGACGGGCCATTTCCGTCCCGGGGAGCCTCACTCCTCGTCTTCCCCCGCGCCGCTCATCCAACACCCCCTTCTCCACGCTCTCCGGCTCCTTCACCTCCAAGGATGAAAACGAAAACGACGACGCAAGGAAGGAGAACAGACAGACGTTGGTCGACGTTGAGGCTCATAACAGGAGCAACGTGAACAATGTGACGACTCCAGTCCCCCGGACTCCTCGGGTTAACGGTCTGGTAGCGCCCCACAGCGCCCCTGTTCTCAGAAGGAGTACGGGAAAACGTATGCTGAGGCCGGACTCCCTCGTCATCTACAGGCAAAAGAAAGAGTGCAAAACCCCCAACGGTGCGACCGTGGGAGAAAACAACAACATGGAGGTAAAGGGCTACAGTTTTGTTCGCCGGCTCTTCCAGGGATCCATGAGGGAGAAGGGGAGCGGCGGTGAGAGCCGAATCCAGAAGATGGTGATCGGGGAGGAGAAGGGACCGTTACGGGATGGGGACTCGCGAATGTCTTGGACCAACGACAAGGATGCAGCGGATGGGGGACCAATGAGCAGGAGGTCTAGTAAAACCGAACAAGAACGAAGCCCAGAGTCTAACCAAAGCACGGGGTTAGGCTGCACTGACAACGGTTTTACAAATGGCTCCAGAGACAAAGTAAACACTGGTATCACCAACGTCAACAACGATGACCCGTGGAAGCGAGCGTCCCCGCCACCCAGGAGGAGACAGTTTGGGGAGCTGCAGCGCTCCAAGTCAGACTTGCAGCTSCGCTCCTCGGTGGCTTTGTCAGAGCAGGAGCATTTCTTCGACTTCTGTGGGCTGGACGTGGACATGATAGAACGTCTGGGGCGGGAGAACTTCCTCTCTGGTGCCAGTTCCATCGACACGCTCTCCCTGGCGCTCCGCAGCGTGGGTGGAGACRGTTGCGGTGGGTCAGAGCCCAGTGAGTTCTCCCGGCACTCGGGAGACGGACTGTTCCAGGACGAGCTGGCCGAGCAGCTCCCCACCGGTGTGTCGATCATCGAGAGAAACGCTCGTGTCATCAAGTGGCTTTACGGGTGCAAAAAATCTGCTCAGGAGGGACCAAAAGAGTCAACTGTTTAGTTCTGGGGTGCAGATTTATGTGCCATGGAGTGCTGTGCTGTGTCTGCTGAGGTCTTTTTAAACATAAACCCACGGATAAGTGCATGTTTATCAGGAGATTAGAGGCTGTTCTGTGAAACCAACAAATGTTTCTGGGTTTTAAATGATACAATTTAAATGTGCTGCAAAAGTTTCACACATCAAGCGACCAAATTCTAATAGAATTTTGCTATTTTTCTTAGTAGTAATAAGAAATTTGCATTAGGTTTTCAATATTTTACTGTAATTCATAATATTGGACATCACTGTTAAATTKACATCTTTTGCATGATAATGAACAAAATGGAGTGGTTATCAACATAAAACATCTCTCTTATTGATACAGTCAGTGTTGAACAGACTGAAGATAAAATAAAAAGTCATAAACTGATTAACATGTTAAACTAACGGAGATAAAATAATTAACATATTGCACCAGAAAACAAACAAAAAATAACGTGTTTACAGAAATAATGGCTCCGTGAAAATTTTGGTCATTCGTTTTTTGGTTTAAAAACATATTGAGAAAAGAAAAATGGACGGTTCTATTTTTATTTTACACTCAAAAACGAGAAAATGCTCCGTCTCTTTATTTTTGTCAAAACGGAAATTTAACATTGTTCTCTTGGCAACTCACTGCTGTCCTGTGGGTCCAGTTGCAGTATTTATCGCGGCTGCGTGTTCAGCTAGTTATAAAGTTATTTGTGTGTATTCATCTCATCAGACCATTTAAGACAGATGGAGCTAGATAAATTGTTTTTTTTTAAGAAATTAACTAAACTAGATATAATAGTAAACAGTAAAGTCTGTGGTTAGTTAAAGAAATACAAAAATAGTTAGCATTACAGTCATTATAATTATATAGATATGCATTTTTGTTGCTGTGATTTTGCTATCTTTGTTTTTGTAGGTGTGGAGCCGAGAAGTCGGGTGTGCTGTTTTGTGTTTTCTCCACATATATTTCACATATCTTCTAATCTCTCTTTCACTCTTTCTCATTACATTTCACTTTTTTCTTTCTCTTTCTTTTTCTCCTATTAAAAAAAGCCACTGATGATGAAGAAGCTAAGATACTAATATTCAGATATTCAGTTCTGCTTTCTACTGAAGTGGCAAAAAGTAGTTAGCATTAGCTAGCATTAATTTATTTAATTACAGGCAGCCACATTTTATTAAAAAGTTATTTAGCTAGCTCCATCTTAACCCTTAACAGTTGCCCCTGAAATTCTTTAAAAGTCTTTCAACATTTTTTATTATACATATATTTGTAAGAGTGTAAAACTAAAGGTAAGAACCGGAGAAAGTAGTCTGACCCCGGATTTACACTACATGCGTCTCTGCTTCGCTGCGCTGTGGTGCGCAGGTCGCAGCTGTTCGTTTGTGTCTCAATTTATACAGACGCCGTTCTGCTCCGGTCCGACAGAAAGTGTGTGGAGGAAGGAGATTGCGTAATAAATTCAGTGATAAATGTGGAAGTCACAGCAAAAAATAATTAATTCTGTGAAAGACGAACTCCAAACACAGCTGAAAACATAGATATAAAGGCTTTTGATATCTAGGTTGAACTGTCTCGCTGTTGTCTTTCTGAAACTTCTGATTTCAAAATAAAATCCACGTCTATCGTGTGTACACATATGCTTCATGCTACATGTTTCCATCTGCTTCCCAAACAGAACAATACATTCTGACAGCATTTGTGTAGAAATATATCCATATACTGATCAATATAGCTGGGATTTGGACATTATTCTGACAAATTATCCCGCATAATAGTGTCTTATTTTGAAAATACGAATGCTGTGCTCGTGTATTTTCCTGTTGATGCGATGTAATCTNGCTGTGGTGCGCAGGTCGCAGCTGTTCGTTTGTGTCTCAATTTATACAGACGCCGTTCTGCTCCGGTCCGACAGAAAGTGTGGAGGAAGGAGACTGTGTAATAAATTCAGTGATAAATGTGGAAGTCACAGCAAAAAATTATTAATTCTGTGAAAGACAGACTCCAAACACAGCTGAAAACAAAGACATAAAGGCTTTTGATATCTATGTTGAAACTGTCTCGCTGTCGTCTTTCTGAAACTTCTGATTTCAAAATAAAATCCACATGTATCGCATGTGTACACATATGCTTCATGCTACATGTTTCCATCTGCTTCCCAAACAGAACAATACATTCTGACAGCATTTGTGTAGAAATATATCCGTATATTTATTAATATAGCTGGGATTTCGACATTATTCTGACAAATTATCCCGCATAATAGTGTCTTATTTTGAAAATACGAATGCTGTGCTCGTGTATTTTCCTGTTGATGCGATGTAATCTTTAAAAATTGACTCCGGCACAGCTCCGGCATCCGACAGGAATAGGATCGTATCTAATTTTGCCAGATCGCCGTTCGCTCACCACCACCCTGCGCAGCCGTGCGCAGCCAGTGTAAACACTCTCATTGATCGTAATGGGTGCGTATTTGCTGCGGAGGTCGGACCGGAGCGGAGCGGAGCCGGAACGCATGTAGTGTAAATTAGGGGTGACGCCCTAGTTTTCAAAATAAAAGCCCCTGGTAATGTCTGGAAATGTTTAAAGGCAGAAACTGCACTGGTGGAACAACAACTGGTCTGATAACGACAGTGTTAAACTTCCAGTTTGACAAAAATAAAAAGACGGACCGTTTTCCCATTTTTGTGGTACAAAATGAAAACAGAATAACCGTTTTCTTGTTTTTCAATATCCAATTTTAAAGCAAAACCCGAATGACCAAAAGCTGACAAGAATAAAATAACAAACCACACTTTTGTTCCACTGAGAAATACTGTCGTTTAAAATGCAGTTATGTACTGCAGAAACAATATGCACTTTAAAATAATCTGATTTGCTATTAGTGAATATTTCACATCTTTTACAGTGGTTTTTTTTCAGTGCAAATTATTTTTGATAAGCTCCTGGCTTCATTTCTTCCCCTGAATATTTTAAATTAATATCATTAGCATTCCATGGCACACAATCACCTTTAGTCCCTTCACTCCAAAGAGATTTTTTTCATGAGATTAATAAACAGCCACTGCTAATCTTGTCAGATTGATATGTTGTATTTATAGATATGAACGTGTTGTGGCTGTTCTCGCTGTAACACGGAGCGGTGTCTCCCAGTGTTTGTGTGTTTGTGAGTGTGTGAAACCAACATGCTGTCTCTTAATGTTTAGCCTCTGCGCAGTTTTTGACAGAACTGGATTCTGAGCTTATCGTTAGCCCCTCTTAACGCGACATGAGAACCACACGTGTTTTTTGTTTTGCAAACATGTTGGGATTCTTGACACTAAAGCTCCCCCTTTTCATGACCAATTTAAAACGAAGAACCACTAAGCTATGATCTTTGTGAACGGGGACTGTGTGTGTGTGAAGTGAACCACGAGTACCTCGTTTGAATCTGTCCCAGTTTAGTTTGAGTTGCTTCTTTTTTTTAAAACTCTTTAAACGCAGGCGTTGGAACAAATATGTGGGACGCTCCTGAGGGCTTTTTAATGCACTGAACTGGACAGAAACAGGAAATGAAAGACTAATTTTCAGAGATTCATCTCATTTGGTGTTTAGCTCSAAGTTGGATTCAGTGAAACGTCTGCATCCTGGACAACTAAGGGCAAAAATGTGGGCCAGTATTTATTTATTTTATCTGCTGGTGAAGGTCAATGCTAACAGTCATTACGTGTTTGCCTGTTGTGCGAGTGTATGGTTCGCGAAACACATTTGTTTGTAATGTGTGTGCCGAACAAAACCTGAGCAGAAATCTCACAYAAGACAGAAAAGAAAACACAAAAATACCAAAAAGCCCAAGCTGATAAATGTTTTAGGGAGTCGCCGTCACCATCTGCAGGTTTCCAGATGTGTAACCTCTCCAGCTGGCTCCTCAAAACATGCAGGGGAGGCCGACTCTGCCCCTCCTCTCACTGATAACTACAAATCCTACCTCACTTCATCCATTCTTCACATTTTATCTCCACGAAAGGTCATTTCCATCCCCCCCACCCCCCACCCCGAGGATGCCTCTGAAATCTGCACAGAGCTGAAGGTATGTGGAGGTGAGGCTGAGCGCTTTCAGACTTCACGGGCACCGTATATTTGTACACGTCATAAACGAGCACGACGCTCACAGCCTTGATGTTCTGTGTTAYGAGCACGACACACTTCGGAAACAAATTCACTCTGTTTTCTTTTCCTGTGGAAAACCTCTTGGCTGCATGTTTGCATTGTCACTGTGTAAGTTTGAACTCTTTTTTTTTATCTGATGCATATGAGAGATTTAAGTTTTTATTCCAAAGAGTAAATAAAAACAATTAAAATGTCAGTGTAAATGTGTGTTTTTTTAAACATTTTTTGGTTTATTTGGAGTGTGCCCAGTACTAAAATGCATTTTAAAAAAATCATAATGCCACTTTTTTTCTCCTATAATTCATCCTATTAAAGCTTAGTTTTCACATTAACTCCAATGGCTAGGTGCTAATCTTTTTAGTATTCCCAACATGGCATGCTTTACTGGATCTGCAACAGGTTTGTAGACAGGGAGGCTTGTGTTTGGCATGATTTTGTGTCTGAGTGTTTGCAGCCTCCTCCTTTCAGCATCTGCAGACATTCCAGATCAAAACAGACAGAAATTTTGTCCTGATGCATCTCAGTAATCCAGGTAAAAAATCAAAAATAAAAAAATTGTATAGGTCCTCTGGACGGGTTCTTCTC